CATGAAAGCTAGTGCGGAAGAAACGGAAGAAGTCTATCACCTTCCTCAGTGTGAAATTGATCAAACCTGCACTGATAATAATTGCCGATTGGAATGCAAAGGTAGAAACAGAGGGGTAGGGACGGTACTTTGAAAATATGGCCTTGGCGCCAGAAATGAAGCTGGAGATCCCATAACAGAATTTTACAAGACCAATAGGTTCATTGTAAATACCCCTTTTCAACCATATAAATGGCAACTGCACGCGTGAACGTCACCAAACAGAATACACCAGACAAGCTCAATATTAGTAGTAAAAATGACACCGGGGCTGACTGTGGAATAGATCACCAATTGCTCATATGCAAGTTGGAGAAAATTACAAGTCCATGAAAGCCCAAACATGACCCTGAATTTCAAGGACATCTCAATAACAGATTTGACACATTTAACACTCATGACAGAAGACTGATGAAGTGTCTTGAAGTAGGATGTCATGGAGAACATCATACACGAATAAAGCAAAGGGTATTAAAAAGTCAAGAACGAGAAGGGTCACAGTGCATGTCGGAGGACTCTGAAATTTGCTCTTGAACATAGTGTAGCTACAGCAAATGGAAGAAATGATGACGTCAAATAGAGATTTTCAAAGGGCAGCTAGAGAAGACAAAGCATTCTAATAAATGTGCACAGACCTGAGTTAGAAAAGCAAAAACGAAGGGCACATTCAACATACCTCAAGCTGAAAGAACTGAAGAAAAAATTCAAGCCTCAAGTGCCAATAATGAAGGATTCCAGGGGCAAACTACTGAATGATCCAGGAAGAATCCAAAGAACATGGAAGAGCAGCACAGACACTATGCCAAACGGAATGGTTTGAAACGCATTCCTTTAAGAAATAGCCTACGATCAGGAACCAGCGATACGTAAGGAAAATTTTAAGCTGCACTGAAGGCATCAGCAAAAAACAAACTCACTGCAGTCGAGTTGAATCCAACTCCTAGTGGCCCCCTCGGACAGGGTAGAACTGTGCCAGTGAGTTTCCTAAACTGTAATTCCTTTATGAGAGTAAAAACCCTCCTCCTCCTCCTGCCGAGTGACTGGTGGTTTTCAGCTGCTGGCCTGGCACTCAGCAGCCAGGGTTGAACTCCTCTGCCACCGGCACGCCACAAATCGACAGACTACCGACTGCAACCTTTCCACGAGCTGACGAAGCACTGTTCCAGTGCTTCTCAACCTTCCTACTGCCCGACCCTTTCACACCGTTCCTCCTGTGGTGGTGACCCCCCCAACCCTAACCATAACTACTTCATCACCGTCATTTTGCTACTGTGATGAATCGTCATGTACATAGCCGATAGGCAGAATGTATTTTCATCGTTACAAATTGAACATAAATAAAGCATCATGGTTCATCACAAAAACGATGTCATTCTACATTATGAAATATTTATTTCTAATGACAAATGAATGACATTTCGTCTTGAAGCATGTGGTAGCATAGGGAACAGTCTCACACCAGGCACTCATATGTGGGCATATCTGCCTAGGGGCGGACCCGCGTAGAGACAGATAGAGGAGCGGTGTCTCTGTTCCTAAGGCCATGGGAAAGAGGTGCTTTCCGATGGTCTTAGGCGACCCCTGTGAAAGGGTCATTCGACCCCCAAAAGGGTCGAGAGCCACAGGTTGAGAACCGCTGCACTAGAAGCACTCACGAGTCTGAGCCAAGAACTTTAGAACTTAGCTACCTGGTCAACCGACAGGA